TTTGAGCTGCTTTTCCTGAGCAAATCTATTCAACCCTACAATGAGACTCCATTGATGTGTTTGAGCTGTTAGATTGACATTTATGTTTTTAGCAGATGTTTTATCATCCAAACTATTTCCTAGAAAATTCACATATACAGTAGTGTAAGCGGCAAATACTAGAATCTGTAGCTCTAATGTGATTTAATGAATATAAGAAGAATGAAGCTGATGCTGTGAAAGTGCTGGATTGAGGTGAGTTACTAAAGATCAGTCAAGTCAACAAGAGCCGCACAAATCTGATGTTGGTGCAGGTTATTGGGTAAAGTGTGGTTTTGATTTCTGTTTTGTAGAGTTTCCAGTCTCTCTCAGCACCTCCTGAATCTACAGATGGAAATGATGATTCCTTAATTTCTCTCTTCTCTTCTGATGGCCTGAGAGAATCTGTCCATCAGCTGAGAGACAAACTGGAGGATTTCTGCAAAGAGGAGCTCAAGAAGATCTCAGACAGAGGTAAAGGTCTGAGGACTCATTTATAACCGTTGCATACGCACAAACACAGCCCTGAAAGAGGCGTACGCCACTTCCTGCGCAAAAGGTGGGATTTATAAAAACAAACTTGACGGGAAAATTTGCGCAACTGCACGCAAACTCTGACCCATGCGTACAAACTCTATTTTCTTGAGTGAGAAATGAATTAATGAAGTAAAAACAATGATTTTAAGCTCTGTTTTCATGTCGATATATACATTTACATTAAATATTCTACTCTCATATGGAGATAAGGACTGAAATTACATAAAGTCATTACGCAGAACTTAAACCAAAATTATATGAATGAAGACATATTTGTAGTGGATGCGCTTGATCACTTTTCCTCTTTTATTGACAGCGAGGAGTGCTATAGGTGCACAATAATTCATCTTTAAACTGAAGTGTAGATCTCATGTTATGAGAAAATATTCTTTAGCGAGAACAATGATCAATGATGCGCACTTACTTCGATATTATGGCGGACACTGCTGGATTCAGTGGTCGAACGGTCCATTATCCAGTTTGAATAGGTCCAATGATAATATCTTACTGTACAACCGCAGCTGCACAGAAGTGTTGATGTCGTGTGAAGTCATCTCTACAACATTATGAAAAGTACCGCTGTATTTGAAGGCTACAACTTGAAGAAAACGGTCAGATTTATACGTTTCCTTTTTAAAATACTTTGTTAGTAACGCGCCGAGCCAGACAATTTTACACTGCAATAAATAGGCCTATCTGTTTCCACTCAAAATAGCTAAAAGATATTCAACTTATCAGCAAAACTGCATAAATTTAGTTTGATTTGAATTGTTTAAAAGAATTGAAATAGGCTACTATTTGGTCAGTGTTAAAGAATGAGATCAACTCTATTCTAAAATATTTATCTGATAACTATTTTAAACATTTTTTGTTTTTATTTTTGTTTTTATCTTGATATATTTATTCTAAAACATAACAAGGATATTGGATGATTATTAGAAATAAAAATTAATGTATGGCACAAATGGCATTTATAGTCCGTATCTCATATTTCCTTAATGTCTTTTATCTTTGACGGTGTTAAACATGGTGTCACGTGGATGGGAATATGCATGGAAATGATATGCAGATGAGGTTATGCATAGTAAAACTAGGCGTTGTAAGCTCCATATATGGTGATTTCGGGGAGGAGCAGTGTTAAAGAATGAGATCAACTCTATTTCTAAAATATTTATCTGATAACTATTTTAAACAGTTTTTGTTTTTATTGTCGTTTTTATCTTGATATATTTATTCTAAAACATAACAAGGATATTGGAGGATTTTTAGAAATAAAAATTAATGTATGGCACAAATGGCATTTATAGTCCGTATCTCATATTTCCTTAATGTCTTTTATCTTTGACGGTGTTAAACATGGTGTCACGTGGATGGGAATATGCATGGAAATGATATGCAGATGACGTTATGCATAGTAAAACAAGGCATTGTAAGCTCCATATATGGTGATTTCGAGGAGGAGACGGGCTGGAGATGCACGTACGCACAATCTTCCCCTGACTGGGATTTATAAAGGGATTTTGCGCAGGTACTGGCATACGCATGGTTTTATAAATCTGAAAACTTTTGTGTGTATGCAAAATCTAGCTTTTGGGCATACGTACACTTTTAGGATGAAATGTACGGAGAGTTTTATAAATGAGGCCCCAGGAGATTCATCTGCTCTCAGAAATCAGTCCATCATCATCTCATATCATGGAAAACATCATATTAGAAATGTTTTAGGAATAGATACAGGATCATGAGAATCACCCTGTTCATGTCTGTTGATTTCCACAGTCACATTCACCAACATTGTTCTCTGGACCAGGAACGACTTCCTACGATGTAAGTCAGTAAGAAAACAAGCAGAAAAACTCACTGAGTGTGTTCATGTTCTTCCTGTAGAAGGTGAAAGAAGAATTTTATAACTGATTATGTAAATGATGATTTGCACTGGATATCTGCTCATCTCTACTGAGACACTGATGATACACTGAACATGAAGAGTTCAGCTACATGAAAAGATCAAACAGATTCATAATTCCTGATTCTGATGTGTTTTATCTCCATCAGATTCCCATCAACTCACTCTGGATCCGAACACAGCATATAAACGCCTTTTTCTGTCTGAGAGCAACAGAGTGATTACTGTCGCTGGCACAGATCAGTCGTATCCTGATCATCCAGACAGATTTGATTATTGGTGTCAGGTGTTTTGTAGAGAGAGTGTGTGTGGACGCTATTACTGGGAGCTGGAGTGGAGTGGATATAATGGTGTGTGTATATCAGTGTCATATAAGAGCATTAGCAGGAAGGGAGGGGCTAAAGAGTGTGTGTTTGGATTCAGTGATCAGTCCTGGAGTTTGTTCTGCACTCCCTCCAGATACTCATTCTGGCACAATAAGAATGAGACTGCTCTCTCTGTAGAGTCCATCAGCAGTAGAATAGGAGTGTTTGTGGATCACAGTGCAGGAACTCTGTCCTTCTACAGCGTCTCTGACACAATGAGCCTCATCCACACAGTCCAGACCACATTCACTCAGCCGCTCTATCCTGGGTTTGGATTTGGATCTGGATCATCAGTGAAACTGTGTTGATGAATCAGGATAAACTGAAGAGAGATTCTACCCATAATGCTTTGAGCTGCATGATGAATCAGTAACAGTGAGATGTTATAGAGTCTCTTCTTTTCTCTTCATGACATTAATACTGTAGCTGAACTTCTGTCAGTTAAATAACATGTCAGAATAAATATGTGTAATAAATCCTCATATAGACCATAAGATCAGTGTGTGTGTTATATTCAGTGTTGGGGAAAGTTACTTTTAAAAGTAATGCATTACAATATTGCATTACTCCCTAAAAACTAATTACGTTAGTTACTTTTTATGGAAAGTAATGCGTTACGTTACTTTTGAGTTACTTTTTAAATCTGGGCAGAGCTTTCTTGTTTTTAATATAAAAAGTTCTTCTTTTACAAATATAAAAGCCCTTTCACAACAAAAGTGAAAAGAATATGCCTCAGGCTGAAGGAAATGTAAATTCATGTCTGTACATTAGAGAACGCAGCTCAAACAAATTGCATGAAGAATATGACACAGGAGAAGAAAGTTGAACACTATTCAGCAATAAGAAAATTGAAACAGAAATGTGTCATTTTTGCTCCGTATGGTTGAATTCGAAGGTCAGTAGCAAAGATATTGGTTGATAAAAGGGGATTAAATAAATAAATAAATTGTTATCTTATTTAACATATTTAATTATTGCAGGTTTGTATAATATTCTGAGTTTGCATTTTACTGTTTTTATTCATTTTGAGGAATACTGAATCTGTTTTTGTGCAGGTGAGATGAGTACAGATGTACAGGTCTGGGGGCGGGGCCAGTCCGTTAACTGCTTTAAAATATTTTAATTGTTATTAGTTATTTTTTCATAACTAATTAATTAAGTTAACGCGTTAAACTGACGGCCCTAATATATATATATATATATAAAATCAAAGGTCTCATGCTAATCATTTATTATAATCTCACATGGCAGTGATCTGAAGAAACACTGATAGAATGAGCATTCTTAAAACTTTTCTTAAAAAAAAAAGTCGACATTCACAACAAAGGTCAAAGGCAGGGCTTGAAAACGAAAAAAATTAATTCAATCGGTTCACTTCGAGCAGAATCGATATTTTAACTTTTCTGTTCCTGTGTTCCTCTGTATTATTACCGTTCCGAAACCGGTTCAAGTAGAAGAAATACCGGTTAATAACATTATTTTTTTTAAAACAATTTTCTTTGCCTATAATAATAATAATAATAATAATAAAGTACAGCATTTTCTTTACTCAAAAAGAAAAAGAAAAATACACAGGAAGAGATCTGGTATCTTAACCCGCTGTGCTTAGTCACAGCCAATACAACATCATCTTTTCTAGATTTTGGCCAAATGTAGGCTACTAAACAAAAGAAAAAATCTATTAACACTTTAAAGACAAAGTATTTTTTAAGATATTTAAAAATGTTTGCTGCATTGTTAAAAAAAACGCTACTTGTATAAGATTGCGATCTGAGAGTGAAAAAAAAAAAGATAAGTCGAGTGGGCTCACGTCGCATTTTATTATTACATTCAGAAATAATGTAGGCTAAAATGCCGGTAAAGCAAAATGTTTACAAACATTATAAACACAGTTATTAGTTTCTCTCCACAACAAATCCCCTAAAGTTAAGGCTATGCTATAAAAACGTCAATCCAAAAATAAATTAATTTAAGGTGAAACTGATGCCTACCTCTCTCATTCGGCATGGATCTAAATGTTTACATATTTGTGATGTATCTGGATGCTAAACTATTATTTATTATAGGCTAGGCTTTGTACTTTCATTGACGTAAACCATCATCCTTCACATCGGCTATATCAGCACAGTGAGGCGGTGGTCACGCTGAACGCAACAGATTGTACAACGAAGCAGTGTAACTTTTTATTTGTTTCTTTAACTGTATTTTATTTTGATAATGAACAGGCTGTAATGTCTGAAAAATATGTTGTGTCTGTGTGCGCCAGCGCAATATGGTCATACCAATGCTGGTTGGTTATACAGATAGAAGCAAGACATCATTCAAACCTGTCAAGCTTTTGCAAAAGAAATAAAACTGTAAAATAAATAAAACTGTAAAGCTTTTGCAAAATACATAAAACTACTGCCGTCTCGTTTTCCTTTCTGAGAACTTTGGATCGCTTCACAATGAATCGTAACTCACACATTTTATTCTTTCATTTTGTTAATCTGTCAATGATTTAAGTGAAATATATTTTGTGTATATGCCTATATATTCCTTTTTTGTAAGCCTATAGTTTTATTCTGTTTTCTCCGTTCACAGAAGCGCTGCAGGTGCGTGTGATCTGTTGAATCCATCTTACACTATCCTCGGATAAACTCTAACGCCGGTGCATTGCCATTGCGACTTACCTTTGATGAGTTCACAGCTGATCGCGGGCGGGCATTTCACTCGCTTGGTGCGTCAGCTCACATTTGCCTAGGCCGTACTACTCGAATTCGTGATTGGTTGACAGCAAATTTCAAATATTAAATGGAACGATAAAATAACGTTATTAACCGGTTAATGGCCATTTAAAATTTTCGATTCTGTTCGGAACTATACATTTTGATTTCGTCTTTGGTTCTGTTCCTGTCAAAATTTCGTTCGTTTCCGGTTTTTATTTTCATTCCTTGAACTGGTTCAGAGCCCTGGTCAAAGGTCACATCAATATAAATTAGCACAGCAAACACATGAAAACTTGAATATAGCTTTATAATCTCTGTTCTCTTGATAAATGCAGATGTTCATGCTGCAGTGAAGCTCGGCTGCTCCACGGTTATTGCAGTGAATGAGAGCACAAGCTACAGCTTCCTCTGACATCACTTCCTCTAATGCCACTAAAACTCTTCTAGCAGCTTCATATTCCTCCTTAATAAAATTAAGACTAATGAATGTGGCGTCAATCCTACTGTCAGAGAGTCACAGTCACTTCCAATCATGCTCACCAGGTCCCAATCCCCTGATTATTGATCCTCAGCACCTCCAACCGCGCTCACCAGGTCCCAATCCCCTGATTATTGATCACCGGCACCTGTCTCCACTCATCAAGAGCACTATATCCTTGCACTCCTCCCGCATCTTCTTTGTTTGGTCTCAAACATTGTATGTTTACTTACCTGACCCTTACCTGCGATTTTCTACCTGCCAGTTTGCGCCAGCGTTCTGCTCCCTGTTCTCCTCAGCTCCAGTGCTCCATCGTCTCCACGCTCTGCCATTCCCCTGGTACCCCCTGGAAAGGAAATAGGACTCAAGTTACTCAGATAAGCCCCGCTAACCCTTGCTACTCCCCGAATTCTCAACTGGACTCTTTGCCTTGTTTTCTCCTACCCGCCTGTGTTGAAATAAACCTGCTTTTGTTTGTACTTACCAGTGTGTCCCCTTGTATATCAGCTGACAAAAGACCAGACAGACTAACGAGGACTGGGGATGGAGTCCCGAAACCCTGCTGCGGTGGACGACCTCGAGGAGCTCGTCAGCACTTTTCGAGCCGCTCTTTCTCTGGTCACCAAGCCTCAATCTGCCTCTGCCAGTCCCATGTCTCTTCCTGCTCCTTTCTCGGGTGAGGTGGTTGAATGTGGCGGTTTTTTGCTTAAAATCTCTCTCTTTATCGAGATGCAGCTCTAGAAGTTCGTCACGGAGCGGTCAAAGGTGGCCTTCCTGATCTCTCTGCTCACGGGACAGGCATTGCTCTGGGCGCAAGCCATCTGGGAATCTCAGAGCGGCTTAATTAACTCTTTCTATGCCTTCTCATCCCACTTTAAGGACGTCTTCAGTCAGTCCACCGGCTCTCTGTCCATCGCCGACCAGCTCATTCGCCTCCGTCAGGGCACTTCTTTGGCGGATGATTATACTCTGCAGTTCCGTACCCTGGTGGCCTCTAGCGGATGGAACAAGGTGGTGCTGCTGACGGCCTACTGACAGGGTTTAGACCCCCAGATCCGGGCCATAATGGCCATCTATGACGACACTGTTGGCTTGGAGAACTTCATGCAAAAGGCTGTGAAGATTTTTCAGCACCTCACCACCTGCCAGGCCGTCGAAACCGCTCATCTGCCAGCCTCACCCGCTGCCTGTCCTCCAGTACCAGAACCGATGCAAGTAGACTCCTACCGTCTGTCACGCGCGGAGCGTGTTTGACGTCTTGCCACGGGTCTGTGTCTCTACTGTGGAGCTTCAGGGCACTTCATTCAGACATGCCCTTCTCGTCCCCCACGCCCAGTGGTGAGTACCCTCCACATAGAGCCTGATATATCTAAACAGACAGCTACCAAGTTACCACCTCATCGGCCATGGGTCTGTGCCATTGATCTGCTGCCTGGAGCTCGTCTCCCCAAGAGTCGAGTCTATCCCCTGTCCGGAGGCTTGCGACCCTGCATTGATTACCGGGCCCTGAATGAAGACACCGTCAAGCTCCCCTATCCACTTCCCCTGGTCCCGGCCGCCCTCGAGGAACTCCGTGGGGCCCCACATCTTCTCGAAGCTAGACCTGCGGAGTGCTTATAACCTCGTTCGAATCCGGGAGGGCGACGAGTGGAAGACTGCGTTCATAACCCCCTCAGGCCACTATGAATATCGGGTGATGCCGTATGGCCTAGCTAACTCACCGTCCGTCTTTCAGGGATTCATGAATGAGGTGTTCCGGGAGTTTCTCCACCGATTTGTCATAGTGTACATAGACGACATTCTAAAATACTCCCGGAACCTGGCCAAACATCGCCGTCACGCAGGTCCTTCAGCAGCTCAGGAGACACCACCTCTACCTGAAGCTCGAGAAGTGTGAATTCCACCGCCCCACTGTCCAGTTCCTCGGTTACATCCTCAGTGCAGATGGTATTCAAATGGACCAGGGGAAGGTCCAGGCCATCTGTGACTGGCCCCAACTGCAGTCTGTCAAGGAGTTCCAATGATTCCTTGGATTCGCCAACTTTTACCGCAGATTCATCCAGAACTTCAGCCTCCACTCAGCCTCCAATCTCTATACCATGGAGAGCCTCCCCACCTCCAC